GTTGCCATTTCCTCCTCCAGAGGACCTTCCTGATACAGGGATCAAACCCGTGTCTCTTGCATCTCCTGCCTTGGCAGGCGGATTCTCTATTGCTGAGCCACCAGGGAAGCCAGGAAATGAAGAGACACACTCTTAAATAACTCTGGGATTAAAAAGAAATTAAGAGGGAAATAACAAACCTCTCAGGAAGCAGTAAGAAGGACAACATGTCACCAAGCCCTTGCCCACAATGAGCATGTACGCAGAGGAAAGTGTCCTGAGTTAAAGGCATCTGTGATCAAAGAAGAAAGATGAGGGATTTCCCTGGCAGTCCAGTGGTTAACACTCTGCTTCCAGTGCATGGGGCGCAGGTTCGATCCCCAGACAAGGAACTAGGATCCCACATTTGGTGTGTTGAGGACAAAAAATAAAAAAGGAGAAAGATGAAATAAGTAAAGGATGAGAATACTTTGGGCTCTAGGATGATAATATGTGCTTAATTTTTCAGTTTACTTAAAATTAATATTTTACTATTTTAAGTGACATGAAGACACCTCACAACCATAGAGTTTTCTTTACCATTCACTTTTTGTGGTAATTATCATATATATTAAATCTACAATCATGGAAAATCCTACCAACTGTATTATAATTTTGCTTTCAATAGTCATAAAGTATAAGGGTTTGGCAGAGACTTTTATATGTTCCTTAAGATCTAGCTCCCTTTCCTACCAGACACACAGAAGTGTGGGCCTTGAGGTGCATGCTTTCATGTGCTTTAAAAACACATTTTCTTGGACACACCCCACGGCATGTGGGGTCTTGGTTCCCCAACCAGGGATTACACTTGCACCCACTGCAGTGCCAGCGGGGAGTCTTAACCACAGAACAGTCAGGGAAGTCCATCGCGCATTCTTAATAATTTTTAACAGAATACCGAAGAGCTGAAAAAATATTGAAAAATTGAAAAGGTCTATTAAAATTCACATTATTTTAAGTTTAAAGTTTTCTATATATATCAAAACCAGAATTTATTATAATTTGACGTCCTGGCTTTAATGGAAGCAAGCATCAGTAAGACACTCAAAACCGACTGAATTCTTTGGCATCCTCTGAATCCCTCAATCTGAGGTGAGTGCTCCGCCTGCCTCACCCTAATCCTCTTCCCACATCTAAACACATTTCCCAGCCTCTCTACGCACAGATTGGGGTCAGGCAACTGATCCCTGGCTGATGCAGTGTGGAAGGAAGTGAAGCATGTAACCT